AATTTTGGTGGTGATATGGTAACATCTGACAGATCACCACCTTTTAGTTGGCTGGACCCCACCAAAATTTAATCATTTGTTCTTTGTGATAATCTGAACAAGCCTTGAAAATTTTATAAAAACCAACTATAACTTTTTGAGTAATCCTGTCGGAGACAGACAAACAAACAAACAAACCAATGCTGGATTGCAGGCAGGCTAGTTGAGCACACAGACTCTTCTATTATGAAGCCATGCTGCTTTTAATGAATGCAGTGTGCAGTTCAAGCCCATGCAATAATTCATTCAAACTCAGGTAACTGGCAACCATTTTACCTCTGATGTTCAGCCACTCTACAAAGTTATTTTTACACCCAGTATTCTTACTTACCCATCACAAATTTACCTAATTAGTTACCAAATGCTCCACCAATTGTTTATTATTGGTACCATTTTGCAGATGACAAAATTTTGTGTCCTCTCCCTTATAGTGGTGTAGAGGTTTGAGWGTCCCAATGATCTTAGGAGCATGGTTGTCAGGGGCTTCATGCCCCTGGTAGGGTCACCCAAGGCAAACAGGTCCTAGGTGAGGGATCAGACAAAGTACAGCTCAAAGACCTCTAATGATGAGTACGATAAATGGACTGAGTGTTCCCTCACCCAGACGCGGATCTTCGGGGCCCCACTCTGGAGCCAGGCCTGGAGGTTGGGCACGCTGGCGAGCGCCTGGTGGCTGGGCTTTTGCCCATGGAGCCCAGTTGGGCACAGCCCGAAGAGGGGACGGGGTCCCCCTTCCCATGGGCTCACACCTGTGGGAGGGGTCATAGGGGTCGGGTACAATGTGTGCTGGGCAGTGGTCGAAGGCGAGGACCTTGGCGGTCTGATCCTCGGCTACAGAACCTGGCTCTAGGGATGTGGAATGTCAGCTCTCTGGTGGGGAAGTAGCCTGAGCTGGTGTGTGAGGTTGAGAGGTTCCGACTAGATACAGTATAGTCAGACTCACCTTGACATACTGCTCTGGCTCTGGAACCAGTCTCCTCGAGAGGGTTTGGACACTCTTCCACTCTGGAGTTGCCCATGCTGAGAGGCGCCGAGCAGGAGTGGGCATACTTATTGCCCCCCATCTCGGTGCCTGTACATTGGGGTTCACCCAGGTGAATGATAGGGTAGCCTCCCTCCGCCTACGAGTGGGGGGATGGGTCCTGGCTGTTGTTTGTGCCTATGCGCCTAACAAAAGTTTAGATTACCCACCTTTTTTGGAGTCCTTAGAGGGGGTGCTGGAGAGCGCTCCTAAATGGAACTCCCTCGTTCTGCTGGGGGACTTCAACTCTCATGTGGGTAATGACAGTGAGACCTGGAGAGACCCGGTTGGGAGGAACACCCCACCCACACCGATCTGAACCCGAGCAGTGTTTTGTTATTGGACTTCTGTGCTCGTCATGGATTGTCGATAACAAACACCATGTTTAGGGTGTCTATATGTGCTCTTGGCACCAGGACACCCTAGGCCGCAGCTTGATATCGACTTTGTTGTTGTTTCATCTGATTTGCGGCCACATGTTTTGGACACTCGGGTGAAGAGAGGAGCACAGCTGTCAACTGACCACTACCTGGAGATGAGTTGGCTCCATTGGTGGGGGAGGATGCCGGTCAGACCTGGCAGACCCAAACATATAGTCAGGGTCAGCTGGGAACATCTGTCAAAGTCTCCCGTCAGATGGACCTTCAACTCACACCTTCAGGAGAACTTTGAACAGGTTCTGGGGGAGGTGGGGTACATTGAATCTGAGTGGGCCATGTTCCATGCCTCCATTGCCGAGGCAGCTTACCTGAGCTGTGGCCGTAATAGTTGTCGGTYCCTGTCGTGGCGACAACCCTTGAACCCGCTGGTGGACATRGGCGGTGAGGGATGCTGTCAGGCTGAAGAAGGAGTCCTATCGGGTCTTTTCGGCCTGTGAGACTCTGGAAGCACCCAATAGTTATTGGCAGTCCAAGCAGACTGCGGCTCAGGTGGTCGTTGAGGCAAAAACCCGGGCGTGTGGGTTGGTGGGCTGATTACTTCGAAGACCTCCTCAATCCTACCGACATACCTTCCCATGAGGAAGCGGAGCCTGAGGACCCTGGGTTGGACTCTCCAATCTCTGGTGCCGAGGTCACTGAGGTGGGTAAAAAGCTCCTTGGTGGCAAGGCGCCAGGGGTGGATGAGATTCGCCCGAGTTCCTTAACCCCCAATTCGCATTGCTTGCGTTCCGTCTCCGCTCCGCTCCGGTCCGACCTCCGCAGCAAATACGCACCCATTATAATCAATGAGAGTGTTTACACTGGCTGCACAGGGCGGCGGTGAGCGCACGGCGATCCGTCAAAATTAGAACAGATCCTATTTTTGCCGGATGCCGGAGCAGCGCCGGAGTCGATTTTTAAAGATTACGTCGCATCAACAGGAAAAGACACGAGCACAACATCCGTATTTTCAAAATAAGACACTATTCGGCGGAATAATTTGTCGGAATAATGTCGAAATTGCAGCTATATTAATAAATATACGGATATATTTCTACACAAATGCTGTCAGAATGTATCATTCTGTTTGGGAAGCAGATGGAAACATGTAGCATGAAGCATATGTGTACACACACGATACACGTGGATTTTATTTTGAAATCAGAAGTTTCAGAAAGCCGACAGCGAGACAATTTCAACCATAGACACCAAAAGCCTTTATATCATTATTTTCAGCTGTGTTTGGAGTTCGTCTTTCACAGAATTAATTATTTTTTGCTGTGACTTCCACATTTATCACTGAATTTATCGCACAATCTGCTTCCTGCATGTCTATCGGACCGGAGCGTAGCGGAGGTAGTGTAAACTGGACTTGAAATGCACAGCTGCGACCTGCGCAGCGGAGCGGAGACGCATGTAGTATAAATCCGGGGTAAGGCTCTGGATGTTGTGGGGTTGCGTTGGTTGACGCGACTCCACAACATCGCATGGACATCGGTGGGAAGTTCCTCTGGAATGGCAGAATTGGGTGGTGGTCCCCCTGTTTAAAAAGGGGGACRGCAGGGTGTGTTCCAACTATAGAGGGATCACACTTCTGAGCCTCCCTGGTAAGGTCTATTCAGGGGTCCTGGAAAAGAGGGTCCATCGGATAGTTGAATCTCGGATTCAGGAAGAGCGGTGTGGTTTTTGTCCTGTCATGGAACAGTGGACCAGTTCTACACCCTCAGCAGGGTCCTGGAGCGTGCATGGGAGTTCGCCCAACCAGTCTGCATGTGTTTCGTGGATTTGGAGAAGGCGTTCGACCGTGTCCCTCTGGGACTCCTGTGGGGGGTACTCCTGGAGTACGGGGTATCAGGCTCATTGAAATGGGCTGTTAGGTCCCTGTACGACCGGTGTCAGAGCTTGGCCCGCATTGCCCGTAGTAAGTCGGACTTGTTTCCTGTGAGAGTTGGACTCCGCCAAGGTTGCCCCTTTTTCACCGATTCTGTTCATAACTTTTATGGACTGAATTTCTAGGCACAGCCAATGTGTTGAGGGGATCCTTTTGGTGACCTTAGGGTCACGTCTCTYCTTTTTGCAGATGATGTGGTCCTATTGGCTTCGTCAGATCCTGATCTCTAGCTCTCACTCTCACTGGAATGGTACGCAGCCAAGTGTGAAGCGGTCGGGATGAGGATCAGTGCCTACAAATCTGAGACCATGGTCTTGAGCCGGAAACCGGTAGGGTGCCTTCTCCGAGTCAGGGAGGAGGTCCTGCCCCAAGTG